TGAACAATCAATCCAGAAGCCTCCTCCCTGAAGACAAACTACCAGGAAGAAAACCAATCAATGATCCCATCCAGCTGTAAAGTCTATGAACCACACAATGATCAGCCCAGTAAGTAATCTCTGCTGCTGCAGTAGTGATACATTTATCCTGTGGATAATCAACAGTTATCTAATTAAACTTTAAGACCTGCTCAGTGGGAGGGAACCCATTTGTGGTACCGTAAAGGTAGCCAAACACACGTGACTGGCATGATCACAGATCTTAGAGAAAAATCTAATCACAGGTCTCAGAGAAAAATCTACCCCTAGTCCAAAATAACTTCTTACTGTATTCTAAATATGTATCCTTATATTTACAGACATATGTACTTCTCAACACTCCTCAATGGAGCTTCTTTTCGTAACAGATGGAGACTATTACAAAGTTCCAAAACTGATCAAACAGAAAGTGTCTGTGAGACCTTTAGCCCTACGTGACACATCTACAATGCAATATCTCCACCTACGATTCAGGGAACATATTGGAATAGTGAGGGAAAGAATCTTAATACATCTCTCCACTCTCACCAATGAAGCTGTCTCATGCAATAGATGGTGATTAACACAAAATCCACAACTGACCAAAGAGAGGTAATAAGAGACTGCAGAGGGCTTATCTATGAACAGGGCACCCATATCAAAATTCTACCACCAAAGGTTCTGGGACTATTGCAGAGTATGGAGTGGAAAGGTTGCAAGAGCCAGAGGTGGTAGATGACCACAAAGAAACAGGGTGTTCTAAACAGCTGGGAAGTTACTCATATGAACTTACAACAATGTTACCATTGCACAAGACCCAAGCAAACTCAAGCCATACAAAAATCCAGTATAAAAGTAAGGAAGTGGGGAAGAAACCCCAGTCTTAGCTGAGGAACTATTAGCAAATGGTAACTACTATGAGAGGGAGAGTTGGTTTTCTCTAAGGATATGACATTGGATGGGTTAACCAATCTCCAGTGGATGGATACACATTGAAGGACATTTGGGAACACTAACTTGGCTTGATAAAGCCTTAACATATATAAAAGAGTTCATGAAATCCAGCAGGGGCAGGTCTATAATAGAGGTGCAGATAAGGAAAAGGGTCTAAATGTGATCAAATATTTTGTATGAAACTCACAAAAGTGCAGTATGTGTTTGAAAACACTAGAAGGCAAGATTTTGAACACTTTGCCATAAATGATAAATGTTATAGGCGACAGATACATTTAATGTGATTCCAATATTATACAATGAAACATGTAACAACTCATCATTTTAAGGAACCTACAACTATGTAAAATCTCCATGCTTTATTACAGGTTGCAATAAATTTCATGTAGAAATTTAAAAACAGGGTTGGCTACTAAAAGGTGAGACTGAACATCTTCTACATGTCAGTCATTCCCTCCACCCCCCACCCATTCAGCCCTTTCTTGGCATTCAGAGTAGCTAGATGAATTTTTATTTTTTAAAGAATTTAAGAAGTTGGATTCCTATCTATACTTTTCATTATGAAAAGTAAATGAAAAAAAAATACAAAGACTGACAACAAGACAACATATAATGCACTGTTCTGGATGTGAAGTCTGCAGGAGGCTTGGCTAAGGTCTTAAATTTAGACCAACACTCCTCCAAGGTCCTGCAGGGTAGATTCAATTGCAGGAGTCAGCTTCAAGTCTCACCTGCTGCTGACTGGCAGGCAGAGCAAACTTAAGGTCTTCAGGGTTGACTGGTACATTTACAAGTGCACTCTCTTTTTCAAAATTTTTCAACAAAGTGAGCAAACTACAAAACTCCGTATCTGTAGCTACCTCCACCAATGTGGACATGCCTTTCCTAAGCTCCTTTTGATGAGATTGACAGCTAAGCCAAGACCACTCATGGCATAATAAATCAGGTGTCTATAAGGGACTCAGTCCAGGAACCAGCAAGCTTCTAGTCTCCTGGAAGTGTGTAGTCACAACCGTAGCCCAGGGCCACATGTACCTTCTAAAAGAGATAACTTATTCAGCCCAGCAGGAAAGAGCAGAAATGGAAATTTAAATGTTTAATAATTGTTTTCTCTTTCTCTTTCCATCAGAGATATCTAACTGTTAATCAGAGCTTCTAATAGGCAAGAGATACCATTACAGAATTATCAACTGAGTGGATGTAATTCTATTACAGAAGAGATATTTGACAGATTAGTTTGCTCATGTCACCTTATCATGAGAAGCTATTCAATTTTTGTTAGACTTTTAAAATATTTGAAATGTTTCACAGACAGAATTCCAAGGAGCCCAGAAATGCCAAATTGCTTCCAGTACATGTCAGTACAAAGCCATCTATATTTAAAATGGTTGCTTAACATTTCTGAATAGGAATGAAATGCCTTTTGTATGGAGAGTTCAAAGCCAGTCTGAGAAACCTGTTGGTCACCTGAGGACTTAGGCCACCTTGAATCCCTCTAAACTTGATCCCACATCCGAAAGAAAGCAAATTCCCTAGACAGGATTTGGCTGGAACCTGGACACTTGGGTTCTGCAACTCTAATTTCCTCTCGATAAATTTTCACTCGACAGTTTTGACCCAACATATTTATTCTCCCCTCCTGGCTCAGCACCATCTGGAACAAATGAATCTTTCTCTCAAATTCCACAAAATGGTTTCAGTCAAGAAACTTTTGTTTGTAACAGATGCTACCAAAGATATGTGCGATGAGGAAGACACTGAGGACCATCGCTCATGGGTTAGAAGCCCCCAAAGTCGCATGGACAACCCTCTGGTCAGCTCTCTTCTACCTGATTCTCACTTGATAGTCCTCTACTCTCCCCAACTTGCTATTGTTTCTGACCCTCTCATTTTCTCTCCTGAACACACTTTCACCTTCAAATAAGCATTCATTTCTGATACTGAGACTGACTTGTCATCAGTCTCCTTCAAAACTAGACTCTGGAGGACTTTGTTTTCCAACGTAAAGAGATCTCCCAATGTATTTTGTTAGTAAACCATCTGTCTACTTTAGCAAAGAAACCATGCCACTCTGTTAAGGACCAACTAGGGATCTTTAATTTAGTCTTTTAAAAGACTCTATTTTTCATTCTGCTCTGAAACAGTTTTGTCAACTGAACAAAATTCATGTGTTAAA